ATAAACGTGTAAATATTTTCAAAATATATACTGTGCGTGTGTGGATTTATATATACATAATAAATATACACAACACACACATATATTATGCAAACAAAAACTTTTATTTTGTACGCGATTAATCGCGATTAATCGTTTGACAGCACTAATAATAATAAATGTTTTTGAGCAGCAAATCAGAATATTACAATGATTTCTGAACGATCATGTGACTGGAGTAATGATGCTAAAAATTCAGCTTTGAAACCACAGGAATAAATGACATTTTAAAATATATTCAACTAGAAAACATAAATAGTAAAACATATTTCAAAATTTTACTTTTTTGTTGTACTTTGGATCAAATAAATGCAGGCTTGGTGAGCAGAAGTGGCCATTCCTAGAAGAGTGTCTCCCACACGCTTCACCTCCGCTGCACAGATCAAACGTGTGTTCATTAGTCTGAGGGCGTTTGGCAGGAGGGCGGCTCTGCTCTGTGTGTGACCTTCTTACCGTAGACGGGTGTTTTTCCGGGCAGGATGACGATGATGAGCTGCAGTCCGGAGTAGGTGTTCTTCAGGTGTCTGAACATGGGCTCCACGCTGTCGGCTCCCTGTGCGTACTTACAGAAACACGGCTGACCCTGGATCGGCATCCCAGCGTCCTTTGAGATCTTACGCAGCTGGTCCGTGAAGTTCCTGAGGAAGAGATCTTCACATTAACACCAAAGCATTCGTAGCTGATTTATTAGCATGAAATATGTCTTAGAATTATCAAGGTTGAAAACAGTTGGGGTGCTTTTTGATATTTCTTTTAGGATACTTTAAACAGAAATCTCAAAAGAACAGCATTTGAATTAATTAGAAGATAAAAAAAAAAAAAAAAAATCTCATTCCACTTTAATTTTCATTGGTCACATTCCCACGGTTTTGACCGATTCAATATTACAATAAAATAATAATTGCCATGATTTTATTGTGATTATTGATTGTTGCATTGAGATTATGGTCATATTGTGAAATACAAATATCAAACAAAATAAGAAACAGGGTTATGAGAGTTAACTAAAACTAAAACTGAAACTGAAATCATAAAAAGCATTTTTGTTGCTTGAAATAAAAGGTAACACTTTAGAATAGGGAACACTTATTCACTATTAACTACGACTTTTTCCTCAATAAATTCCTAATTTGCTGCTTATTAATAGTTAGTAAGGTAGTTATTAAGTTTAGGTATCGGGTAGGATTAGGGATGTAGAAGAATGCATTAATATGTGCTTAATTAGTACTAATAAATGGCTAATATTCTAGTAATATGCATGCTAATAAGCAACTAGTTAAGAGACCCTAAAATAAAGTGTTACCAAATAAAATAAACATTAACTGAAATAAAGTAAAACATAAACCTTTTACTTCAGCTAGTTGCCGAAAAGATTTCGGATTTTAATTTAGTAATGTTTTAAAAACTGAAATAAAAAAAACATAAAACTACACAGACATACAGTATATCAAAAACAAAAACATTTTCGTTTTATTAGTAATTAGTAATTAGTAAAACTTAAATTACATTTAAAATGATGAAAACAGAACATCCAAAAATAAAACCGATTCAAAATATTAAGAAAAACTATAATAGTATCTCAATGATACTAAAATAACACTGATAAGAAATTGATTGTAATTATACTGTAAAATAAATCAATGTAATAAAAAAATAATTATAATTTATGTCTTCATTTCATCATGTGTAAACAGTAATTTTTTTAATAAAAATATGTGCTGCAAGTTTCAGAGTGAATCTTGGCTCAGTGTATTAATTTACATGCATGCAGCTACACGTCTATCATGAACTACGCATGTGTAAATGCTTCGCTTGAAACCAGTAAAGTATATATTTATTTAGTTAAATATAATTAAAATATCAAATATCTTACTGACCCCAAACTTTTGAATGACAGTGTATGTATTAGATTAAAAACTACATTTCAAAGTGGCATAAATCAAATGCCAAATAAGTGTTTTTGCCATTTATACACGTGCAACAAGCTCCAATATATGGGGGAAAAAATTGGCGAAAAATGCAAATGTGGACTTTTAGGATGGCTTTTTTCATCCATCACCTAACAACCAACCAGAATGCTAAAAATGACAAAAGAAAATCTATAAAACGATAACAAGGAACATAAACAGTAGCTCGGAATGAACACAAAGTGAAAACACCAGAGCAATGCAAGTCAGCATCAGTGAAAGATGCAAATAATGCAAAACAGACGAGAGTGTCTGTAGAAAACCTGCAGGGAGGGTACAGAACTCGTGGGTTTCCTTACTTGAGCACCTCTTCCCGACACTGTTTCTGCGGGGCGAAGCAAGCGATGGCCCAGACTTTGATCTCGATGCCGTTGAAGAACTGCTTTCCCCTCATATCCCACACACCCTGGTTGGGAGTCGCAATGGCACGATTCTGTTCACCGGCAGAAAGAGAGAGAATTTAGAAATCTCACACTGGAGGAGGTGATGATGTGTCAAAGCGGCACATCAACATTTATGCATTCGGCAGACACTTTTATCTAAAGTGACTTATACTACCAGTCAAAGGTTTGGAGTAAGAAAGATTTTTTATGTTTTTGAAAGAAGTCTCTTCTGCTCACCAAGGCTGCATTTATTTGATTAAAGGCACAATATGTAAGATTTTTTTATTAAAATATCCAAAAACCACTAGAGCAGTGTTATATATTTTGCTGACTTGTGTACTTACATTATCCCAAATGTTTCGAAGAATGTTTAAATCCAGAGAAATAAGCAATTTTAACTAGTGACACGGACCGTGTCCATAGTGTCATTGTGTCGCCTGCCAATGACGTCATAACCTCTGGATTAAAAACAGTTTTTGCCGTTTAATATTTTTGTGGAAATGAATTATTATTTTTTTTAGAATTCTTCTCTTTTCAAAAGAACAGCATTTACTTGAAATATTTATTTGAAATACAATCTTTACACTAACATTATAAAAGTCTTTACCGTCACTTTGCTCAATTTAACATGTCACTGTTAAATAAAAGTATTAATTATTTTTGTTTTTCTACTTACTTACCCCAAACAAAATATAATAATAAATGTTTCTTGAGCAGCAAATCAGCATATTAGAATGATTTCTGAAGGATCATGTGACACTGAAGACTGGAGTAATGATGCTGAAAATTCAGCTGCGCATCACAGTTATTTGAAATTGCAATATTTCACAATACTACTGTATTGTTGATCAAATAAATGCAGCCTTTGTGAGCAGAAGAGACTTCTTTTAAAACATTTTTATATTCCAAACGTTTGACAGGTAGTGCATTCCCTGGGAACTGAACCCATTACCTTGGCACTGCAAGCATTATGATCTACTGTTTGAGCAACAAGAACAGGAAGTAGAACAGGACCTGTCTGAGCTTCAGATTCAGTAAAACAGATCTCACCCGACCGCCGTACTGCAGGATGGGAGCGGGAAGCACTCTCCCCGTCACCTCGGCCATGTCGTCCTTCACTTTGATTCCAAACTCTTGAATGTAGGGATCCAGATTAAAGTTAGCGTTCTTCATCTGAACAGAAAAGAAAAAAATACGCAAGATAGTGAAGATTACGAAAATGCCCCTCAAACATGAAACTGCATCCACAACCTATTGTACTTCCACAATGTGCATCTTTACTGATTGAAACAGGATAGTTGAGAATAAAGAAAAATTATCTTCATTTTCTAGGAACCGATTTGAAAATTGGGCATTACATATCAGAATGGTTGAGAAGTAAGACAGCTTGATTATGTTTGAAAAGGAAAGTAATGTCAGAGGCAGAGCAATTTATTGCATTTTCACGAAAGATTACAAAAACTTTTTATTTGGAATAACGTACACTGATGAACTGTCCACAGCAAGACCAAAATGTACTACGTTTGAAAGTATATCTTGCAATATATCATAAAATACAAAGTAAATGATTTTCAATGGTCAATGCTGACAGTACGTAGAGAGCTGATATGATGCAAATATACAATACAATTTTTTTAATTAAATCAGATTTAAAAATTTTTTAAATTACATAGAATGAAAAAGAAATGGAGCGTTGACAGATCTGTCTGCCAAACTTTCTGTTCATCAAACAGGAGCGGGTTTAGTTTAACAGCTAATAATCTCAAATATTCGTTCATTGATCTGGACGATATAGTGTAAACCTCGACTAAAGTTTCTGGTGACCTTTTTGGAAATTGTTCAAAGACGTGGTGAACTAAAACAAAACCGCATCACAACTATCTCATTTATTGATCTGAGTGATAAACGGGTTTGTTTATATGAGCATGAACCCCAATGACAATGAGTGACATTCATTTCTTTCTTATATTCTGTAAGGAAATTGTTCAGAAACGCAGTGTAAAACATTACAATTGAATCAGCGTCACAACAAAAATATTCGTTCATTGATCTGGACGATAGTGTAAACCTCGACTAAAGTTTCTGGTGACCTTTTTGGAAATTGTTCAAAGACGTGGTGAACTAAAACAAAACCGCATCACAACTATCTCATTTATTGATCTGAGTGATAAACGGGTTTGTTTATATGAGCATGAACCCCAATGACAATGAGTGACATTCATTTCTTTCTTATATTCTGTAAGGAAATTGTTCAGAAACGCAGTGTAAAACATTACAAATGAATCAGCGTCACAACAACTTGGTCTCAAGATGACTTCCACACAACTCTACTGATGATCACAGATCACGTCACATGGAAATTATGATGTCACTTCATGCTCATGTTCACAAAATTCAAGGAAGCTGTGATGATGTCATCTGCAGTAATACTCTCAAAGAATGGGCTGATTCTATGACCACAAACCTTTATATTAGGATGATTCTGGATTTAATGCGACTTATCATAGAAAATGTTACCATCTCTGTAAAAACAAACTACAAATGTGGAAAACTGTCATGTTTTTGTCAATGTATAAAGAGCAAGCAAGGACTTTCATCAAAAGAACATTTCTGTCAGCAGAGGTTTTATTTTATATTTACTAGAGATGAGAAACAGAAGGAATTTAGTGCATTTGATCTGCAGTAATACTCTCAAAAAATGGGCTGATTCTATGACCACAAACCTTTATATTAGGATGATTCTGGATTTAATGCGACTTATCATAGAACATTTTACCATCTTTGTAAAAACAAACTACAAATGTGGAAAACTGTCATGTTTTTGTCAATGTATAAAGAGCAAGCACGGACTTTCATCAAAAGTGCATTTCTGTCAGCAGAGGTTTTATTTTATATTTACTAGAGATGAGAAACAGAAGGAATTTAGTGCATTTGGTTCTGGTTTGAATCTTTTAACGCTTCATTTAGGAATTCGGGAGAATGAAAATGTTTTAAAAAGTGAAATCATTCTGAATAAGAACCGGTTTTCAAATCCCAGGTCTAGTTTTACCGAGGTACAGATCAAATTAATATCTGTGATAGGAATTCGACAGCCTCAGCCACAGATGCTGAGCTGCACTTATTAGATTCAAGTCATTTGGTATATATTAACACCATTTCAGTTAATGAATTACATGTTTTCTTTACTATACATTTAAGTTCAATCTGTAAAACTTAAAATGCTGCTACCATGTTTTTACAGCAAAGTTCTGCCATCCACAGTTGCAGTTTTTTTTTCCCCTTTTAACTCTTTCCCCGCCAGTGTTTTTGAAAAAAGTTGCCAGCCACCGCCAGCGTTTTTGCTGATTTTCACTAAAATTTCACGGCCCCCAGAATATTTTGTTGTATAAATATCTGAACATGCAATACATCAAAATAAAGATCAGACCCTCTACATACAAACAAAAATTCTAGCTTATTTATTCTAGCTTCAAGCATTGTTTTTTTAACACATGGCATTTTTATCAAATACTACATACTGGATCATATTCAGTAATATTTCTGGATTGACATTTCACTCTGAAACATTAGGCAGTTTTCACTGTTGATGATCGCATTATTTTTCATATGCACACGCTTACATATGAGATCGCTTGTTTCCGCGTCTTCCTGGTCTGTGTTTTTGATCGGCACTTTCTAAACTCATTTAGGAGATGCGTAATAGCGCCCCCGAGCGTATAACAGTCAAAACACGGAAACCCGGAAAATTCCGAAGCGTTGTCTCATGAATAACGGAAAATTCCGTGTTTGGCGGGGAAAGAGTTAACCATACATTTTACTGAATCATTCTGCGTGCAAACAGCAATATAAGTATAAATATATATGTATATGTATATAAAAGTATTATATCATTTGTAAGTGCATTTAAGATACAGATAAATTAATCCAGAATATTATTTTAAAAGATGCCGTTTTTTATCATTTACAAATACTGTGATTTTTCAAATGCTACCAGTTTTTCAAATGTTGTGAATATGTATCTTGTCGATCTTAGTTATAATTATGGTTCCTTTGATTGAACAATTTAATAGCAAGCCGTTTAATAGCAAATGCTTAACTTTTAAGATGTGTTTTGAATACATGCATAAACATTGAGAAGTTTTTGCTAGATTTTCCAGAATATTCCTTTAAAGGATGCTGTTTTCTGTCATTTACAAATGTTGTGATTTTTCAAATGTAACAAATTACTAATATTGTGAATATAAATGTTGTTGATCTATTTGGCAACACTGGTTAAAATAAGGTTTTCTTTGATTGCAAAACTTTATGCGTAACTATTAAGATGCATACCACGTATAATCAAAAGGCTGAAAAACGTGCATTTCTTTCTTTCTGCTGTATTTTTTCAGCTCTATATTATCCTATGGGTAAAAATACTCTGGCTATGTAACCATGACAACAATGCACTAGCCAGTGCTCACTGTATGTAAAGTTGGCGCGTTTCCCGCGTGCACACTAGAGGTCAGCACTCACCAGTCTGCTGATCTCCTCCTGTCTGTCTGGTGCTGATCGCGCTGTGGCTTTGATCATGGTGGAGGTTTGATTATCTGTCAGTTTCTTGATGCACCGCTGCCCTGCTACAATATTGCACACCTACGAGAACAGCAAACCATATCAGAACATAGAAGGTCGTCTATGGTCGTTCTAACCATACGGATGACAGCACTGACCTCCAGGGGCAGGTAGGTGTGTTTCTGCTCCTGGCCCACCTGTAGGCAGGGCAGGTGGGGGTATTTGAGCTGCAGGTTGTACTTCTGCTTGAAGTATTGAGCCACGGTACATTCCACCGTCTGTCCGCTCTCAAGCTGCAGGGGAAACCTGGAGACACGAGCGACAGATCTTCATTCGCTGATCGCATTTCAAGATTTAAATCAGAGTTTAGACAGATTAGCAGTTATCAGACAAACTATTTGACTGCAGAAAACAAAGATGCATTTCATACAGACACAGAAGTAACTGTTAAGTAACACAGTTAACTAAAATTTTAATCATAAAAAAAACATTTTTGATACCTGAATTAAAATAAATGTTAACTGACAAAAAAAAAGTTATTTTATTTTAGCTAGTTTCCAAGGCAACATTTTCTCCATTTTACTTGATGTGCTAAAATAACTTAAACAAAAACTGAAATAAAAATTAATTAAAAACTATACAGATATATTTAAAACAACAAAAACACACAACAAATTTAATACAATTTTAACTCAAATTAACATGAAAGCAGCTTTTATAAAGTTTTTAAAAATGTATTCATTTTATTTATTATATAAATGATATCATTATTTTACTATTTGAATTCATTGTTGAAATATAAACATTTAAATGGTGCCTTTAATAAAAACCCGTTTTCCTGAGATTTATTCAAACAAACATTAAATAATAAAAACAACACAATAAGTAAAAATATAATGAATATGTAAAATGGACACATTTAGCAAATCCTTTATTTATAGAGACACTGACAAGCCAAAATGCACCATCACAGAAATGCTAATTAAATGTCATGGTTTCGGTCAACGATTTCAATCCTCCAAAACTGAAAATTCATTGAACATTTTAAGGACTTAGGACTAATTACGAACTCAAAGTATGACCGTTATGAAAAATGGAAAAAGTGTGAAATCCTACATGAAAATTATACTACGAATGCTGAAGGCTTCAGAGAAGGTTTCGCAGCACAATACTCACGTTTGGTGACTAGCAGGGCGACGTGTGACGTTACAGACGCGGTACTTTCTTTTCATTTGACCACAGTGCGTGACCTCCACCTTCAGACCTGATACCAACAAAACACGCAAAAACAACGAGTTAAGCAGTGTCATGAAAGCTTGTTATTGCCATTTTTTTGAGGTTTTTAAAACAACAATTCAAACCACAAAAAAATAAATAAATCGAATTAGTGCTGCACGATTAATCGAATGCGATTGTCATGCGCATTTTGTTAGTAATTCCACTTCAACAAATAAATCACAAGGCAAAGCCGTGGCAGGACGCTGAGATCATCCAGTGACTTCATCTGATACCTCATCTCAAACTATTAGGGGTGTAATGGAACACATATTCGTAATGAAATGTTCAGTACAGGTCTTTCTGTTCGCTCCGCATGTGTAGTGAGCGAATGCAGTGTTGTTTTAACCACTGCATGTGCAGAACTTCTGTGTGTGGAAAGTAATATGAAATGTAGTTGTACACATCCAAATAGGGCTGGGTGATATCAGCAAAAATATGATCACGATATTCCATATCATACTATATCGATATTTATCACAATTTTCATGTATTGATTGTGACATGTGATTTCCACATGCCTTGTAGAATGAATGTAAACATGACTTATTTATTCACAATTAGCTATAAATCCCCACATAACTTGTTTTATTTTTCCCCTAAATTCTGTTTTAATTTTTTCTGGATTCAGTTTTTATGATTTAATAGAAATGTATCAACAAGATTGGTGTCTAATGAATTACTTTGACAATTGAATCAATCTTAAAATTTATTCAAATTAAACAATAACAATAAATCTACAACAAAACTTTGCATTTTAATTTTTTTGTCAAATAAGATGCTGCACAACAGAACTAAAAAAAAAAATTACAACATGAAACTAAAATATTTGGCATCCAAAGGTGGCAGAATTTCAAATCTTCAAATCAAATTTCAAAACAGAACCATAAACGGCAGTAAAATAAGTGTGCTGCAGCAGGTTGAAACAATATTGACAGACCTTTTTTATTTAAAGTCAGAATCGTAGTTTGTCCAGTAAACCACTATTTAATAAAAAAGAAGCAATTTTATGTTTTGTTTTTCTCTGCTGTGCCGAAATCATACCAAAGCGTGACTGCAAAACTTGGTTTGAAATGTCATTTTTGTGTAATGGTTAACCCCTATAAAACAGCCAAAGGTTGGCAACACTTTACACTTTCTAATGGTTGTCAGGCTGTTACTATGCAGTTCCTAAAGATGTTCTTAGTAGTGATTGCCAGCGTATTTTGTTTGATTGTTAGAATGTTGCTAAGCCATTCAGAATAAAGCAATAAGCCCCAAGAAGCCGTGGTTTACAGTGAATTTATAACAGCTAAGGGGAGTTATAAACCCCGCATACAACCCCCTTAGCTGTTAGAAATTCACTGTAAACCACGGCTTCACGGGGCTTATTGCTTTTAT